AGGATCTAAATAGTTGAAGCATCCTCCTTTGTTTCCAGCTGGGAGCTAGGGCCGTCAATCCTGTCAGCCACGAGGACATGACGTGGGCCACCCTTGGCCAAGTGTCCTTCAGATCCACACTTAAAGCGAGTGGGAGCCTCCTCTCTACCCCCTTGCCTATCTGTGGCTCTCGTCTGTGACACTGTCTACTGAAGTGGCCCAGCTTTCCACAGTGGAAGCAATTCTGACCTCCTTTATTACCTTTGGGTGGCCCTGTATATGAGTAAGACTTCCTTTTCCTGACACAGGCCCTAAACTGGCAGCAATAGCTGCCCCAATAGTTTTGGCCATTCTCTTGTCTTTTCTCTTCCCTCTAGATCCCAGCTGTTAAAAAGAGGGAAAAATTTAAACAAATGTATAATAATTTTGAACATTATAATCTTTTAAGCTTAAGGCTAGAAATATTAACAATATGATCATTTCCAGTACTGAAATACATATTCCAATGCAGTTCCTATTTTCCATAAATGGTTTTGGTAAGAGGAATATTGTAAATGTGGATACATTTCCACTATTCCTTCTCCATGCCACGATATAGTTTATTATTGCTTTTTACTTTTTGACTCATGTACTTTTAACTTGTTAGTTAAATTTGTGTCTTCTAGGCTGCAACACTTCCATGATACATCTTCAAGGATATGAATGTGTACGGCTAAGCACAACTGATAACAGTGCATCTAAATTCCAAAATCAATCTTCATAATAGTCTATGTGTTTCCTATTGCCAAAGGGGCCCTTTAGAGTAGTAAGAGAAGATCTTCACGCTGAAACCTACAGCGTCCCTTTTCAGTAGGAAGTAGCTAAGAGAATATGCCTTCCCCTTTGCCTTATGAATCAGAGTAAAGTCTCTCTCAGGGAGGAGTGATAGGGAATGGCAAAGGACACAATGACAAAGGAGATTAATCAGAGCTGGCTTTGACAAACACTGTGGCAACTGGACAATTAAAACAGACTTTCACGGTTCGAATCCACCAGATGCTCTGCCGGGGAAGGAGG